CAGTCTCGAGTCTCGCGGCAGCACTAAATACATCATGAAACAATGAAACCACTACATTGACATCAGTACATTCAGAAACAATATTCCAGTCAACACATGACAAAGTGAAAACTTATTCGATTAAAATCAGCCAACTTAAAGTTAAGATAAAAATAGTCACATGAAGGAGGCACTTGCGGAATTTAGAACAACACTCATACGCAGGATGTGGAAAATCCAATTTAAACAAAGGCTGAGAACAGGATATGACATTTACAATTAGGTGATTACAAAACAGCAAGTCCAAGAAGTTTCCATACACATTTGGGTAGGTAGGCCACACAGTCAGCATAGCCAACACATCCTTCTCAATATTCCAGATGGAACTGACCCAATCTCACCCTTTTTCCACACTATATTAGGAAAAATAAAGTCTCCCCAAATAAAGACATAGTAAAATCACTCGAATCAACCAGGTGCATAAGGGAAAAGCAAAATCCCTCATAAACGTCCGCAGGTGAGACACTTGGTATATGCATTACCCACCAAAATCCTGTGGCAGCCAAAAGTTACTTGCACAAAAAGTTGTTCGACATTTTCTCTACATGGGTGTCAGTAAATGACAGGAGAGCAGTTCTTATTTGCTACGAAAACTCCATCCTGAGTTTAACATAAAATAGTCTTTTCATATCTGTCACATCGGAAAACTACATAAATCCATCCAACTCCAGTTCACTAGTCAAAATGTCACTGTTTCAGACAATATAGAACAATGTCATAGTCTTCAGTGAGAACATTGCACATTAAATCAAATATTGTAAATCTAATTCCTCAAACATTTTGGTAGTAAAAATTCAACTTACGATTTAGGTCTCGTGGTCGATACTCAGTGCCGGAAAATTTTGGGCCAATCCAGGATCATTGCTATTATTATCAGGTCTTGCTTGGTAGTTTCTACGACACATGAATGGTCTATAAATTACATTGTGAGACCAAAAATTACAATTAGGTCCTTATAAAAGCTTTCACTTATTACAATTTCAAAAGACTTTGAGCTGGCTTTGGAGGCGAGTTTTTCTACCACCAAAGACTTATGCCCTGCAACATCAATTTTTTGCATGATATAGTTCAAAATAACTTTCGTTGTTACTGTCTCAGCAATTCTGCCCACAAACATCCACTTTTTTCCTGGTACGCCCTGAAACAGGCCATCCGCAACCACAGCTGTGCCCTTTTTCCGAGATATCAGTCTATCATCAGCCCAGGTATTTCGCTGGCTCCTCACCTGAGATTTATTGTTAGGTCCAGGTCCATTAGGCTTGGGTAGAGCTGAATGAGCCATGGCATTATTTATCGCTCTATGAACTTGGCTTGCAGTAAAGTCTACTTTATCACCCCCTTGCATCACAGGAGAAGCAGCATTGAAAGTTTTTATAGGAACTTTTTTTCTTATTTTGATGAGTTATATTTGCTCTCAAAATTTGTAACACCATTTCTGAAACATCGTATAACTGCCATGTGTTCAGAGAAGATTTCTTAAATATCGGTCATACAGACTGGATGGTACGTATCCCCTCATGGGCCTCGACCATAATTTGCTTTTATCGCGACACGTAGAGCTGCCCATGGCGATTAAAAGGAAGATTATTGCTGCTAAATTCTTATACAACCTTTCATTACAAGGTGGATTGTGGATTGTGTTTACGATATTTTCGGGGATCCTTTATCTCTGATTGCAAGCACGAACTTAAGTTCTTAATTGTTAGACTATTTTTATATTCAGGAAACTAATGCCATATTGGTATTGCCTTTTAAGGTTTTTTTGGTGAGGGATTTACCCCGTGGTTCATCTTTCTGAGAGAGACCACCTTCTCAACCCTTGCCAGTATGCCACATTCTTTTAATATCAATATTGGTAGGTGAATACTAATTTAACAATAACTGTAATTTTTTTTATAATTTATGAATCTATCATATAAAATATAAGTTGGAATCTTTCTAATGAAGCAGTCTTTTAGGTATACTTATTGCTTCTTCGAGTCCAGCTAACATATTCATTAAAATTAGATTTATACAGAACTAGCTAGTGAGCCTTACTAGGGATATTTTTCGAGATTCACGTGTCCGGCTTCTCTACTTTTGAGTGTCCAAAGGTTCCAAGTCAAAGGTCACTGGCGCCCTATTTGAGATAATCAGATTTTCGAATACTTGACTAGTGTTCATGACCGCTCGACCACTCACCGCAAGTAGCTAGCCCGACACTCCCCTTCTACCACTTTCCCTTTAGTTCAGGTCCTTTTGGTATTTTAAGGGGTAAATTCATCCTCATAAACGAGTCGTTTCAAATGGCGCCTAACGTGGGGTCCTAAACAGAACACTTTTGAGTTTTATCTTTTTCATTTGGGTAATTTTTTTTTTTCCTTTGGTAGTTTCGCAAATAAATAAACAATTTCAATGTTCTTGATTTTGGTACCTATTATTAGAGTTATAAAAAAAGAAATGGATAGGAAATAAATAATATTAGTTGAAATTTGAATATTTGAAGCATTAAAGTAATTTTATGCAAATATTTGCAGGCGAGCAAGTCACGTTGTACCATCGTCACCAAAAGTAACTGGCACCACAGCATCACACAGCTCTTGTCCTATTATGTGAATTTTATTGTCAAATACTTGTCAAACTAGAGATTAAATGCATTGAAATGAATGACAGTAGAATTAGTCCAGGAGATTATTATGCATTATTTGTGTCCCAGTTACTTTTGGTGACGATGGTACGTTTTCCATGTTCACAGCTGATGATTTATCCTAAATAAAGTATTTCTATATCGTTAAATTGGATCAGTGTTACTGAAGATTCTACACGTCTATCAGCGCTATATGTACTATATGTGGCGCTATTATATACTTGTAATTAATTTTGCGTATTCTTCTCGCTAGATGGCAGTCAACGACCAAGTTCTCAAAAGCATAATTCAATTCATAATTTGCACTAATTTATTTTTAATTTTTTTGCTCAATATTATAAATTAAATTATTGCAAAAATAGAAGTGGGACTAGATTCAGGACTATGTTTTTGAACTTAAAACCGGTGTTCCGATTCCCTTTAAATTTGTTTCGGATGTTCGTTCAAGTGTTCTGGGGTGCCATTTTCGAAACCATTCGAATACATTTCGTACACGAAATTTGACTGACAGCAATGTAAATTAAATGGGGAGCATTCGAAATCGTATGAAATTTCGTATGCGAAAATATTCGAAAATAGGACCCCAGGAACTATCCAATGTTGATTCAATCGGTTCATAGCGTTGTTCATAGTGGTCCAAAGTAGTAGGGGTAATTTTCGAACTATTAATAATTTTTGTTCTGACGTTTGAGGTTAGATTTCACAAGTCACAAATTTCCATTTTTATTTTGCTTCGCACATACTAGAGCCGTGGCGCCATCTGTTAGCAGTGAGTTATAGGAGTGACATTTTATCATTTTGACATTCATTAAATAAACAAATAAAAATACAACAAAGTCCTGAATTATAGTTGTGAAAGGTAATATGACACTCATTTGAAGATAATAATATATTGTTGTATTAGAAGTAGAAGCTTTACTTTTTTGTGCTGAAGCAGTAGGTTTGCGATACTGCTGAAGCTGAAGCAGTAAGTTTGCAATGCTGCTGAAGCATAAAAAAAACTCTTCTACTCCGTATGCAACACGCTATTTTTTCTCCAAACGAATGGGATAAGCTCGGGGGTAACTGAATGATTGAGCGACAGTAAAAGTACGAGCGGCACTAAAAGTACTTTTGCTCCCCCTCCAGCGGAACTAAAAGTACTTTTACTGCTGCTGCGGTTGCCTAGCTGCATAAAAATTGAATTTCTACCACATCGACAGGTGTTAACTTGCTGGTTTTGCCTAGCAGCATAGAAATTGAATTCCTAATATCTTGACAGGTGTTAACAAAGTGACTTTTTTTGACGTTTGGAGGAAAAATATTGTATGCCGTTCGGCACAGAAAATCTTTTCAGGATTCGCTCGATTGTAGGCCGCTAACGCAGCACAAAAAGAACCACACTTCTTGGCCTAATAACATAAATAGCTATTAGGTTATATAACCCTGTCAAAGTTGCAAAAATGGCAACTTTCAACTCTCAATATTTCAGAAACAGGTGCCTAAAGTTCATTCCACGAAACGAGATAGTAGAGGTAAACAAACAGGCGGAGCTTTAAAATTACAAAAATATGAATTACAACTAATCACATTTATTATTGCCAGGTTGTCATATGAGTCAATAAGTTTAATGTCGTATTTCCTAGTATTTTACAATTATTCCAATAGTTTTTGGTGAATTATTGTTAATTAGTGAGCAATTTAGATTGAAACAATATCAAGTTCAACAGATTCTGCTGAAGAATTCGTTCGAAAATATATTCAGAGAAGAGAAATACAAAACAACCTAAGACGGTCCTGCTTAGGGCGGAGTATAATCCTTTTCTAGCCAATAATATTCGACTTACCTGTCAAAGTTTGTTGACTTTCACTATCTCGTTTCGTGAAATGAACTTAAGGTACATGTTTTTCCAATGTTTTTTTTTTCTATAATTTGATATAAAACGCTATAAAGTGGAAAATATAACTAGTGACGACGCGCAGCGGAGTTCGGCAAGCAATCAAGTGCGGAAAACACACTTTCCGCACGAGTTAGGAACACTATTTTTTCCACGAGATGGAACTTAATATTTGTTCCTATATATTTACCAATTTAATACACTTTTTTTACTTTTCCGTACCTGTACCTGATGTAGTATACCTGCATACCTGTCCTGTAAGTACCTGTATACCTAAAAATTTTAGGTACCTAGTCTACTTTTCCGCACTCAGTGCGGAAAAGAAGTACTTTCATGACCTAAAATGCGTAAAAAAATGTGCTCGTAGAAAAAATTCTTTGAAGAAGTCCTGATATGTTCGAAACGACGACTGAACTTATGTGTTTTTTTTTTTCTTTATTATCCAAGATTCTAAGTCCCAGACAGTTAACATCCATCGCTTCAAATTAACATTAAAAGATGCAATCGTAATGTTTAAACAATCAACTTATATTACCTATTCATTAAATATAGCTAGACTTGTGACTTTTAGCATATCTTCTTATTACATAAAACTCATTCTAAATAATTATTATTATCCCTAAGTGCATTTCTTGTTAGTTGTGAGATCCCTAATTATTTTCCCCGTCTTCTTTGCCTTGTTCTGTTCCTGTTAAACTTTCCAAAGCTAGGGCTGAATTCGTTTTCAATCTTCTGGGATTTTTGCTTGGAATACATATTAACTGCTGGAGTGTTATAGTATCCTCATGACATAGTGCCATTTCAAGTTGTTGTAACTTCTCCGTAATTGTAATACACATTTCCCGATGATTTTTGGGAGAAAATTGTCCATTTTCTGTATAGTACCATACTTGATTTTGGTCTGACCTAGAGCAACGGTCAACTGCTGGTATCGGCGAGGCTGCCGTTACACAAAGATCAATAAACCCTCCTGGAGGATCATTGCCATTTTCTGGCGGCTTAGTTATATTTTCAATTTTTAAATATTTACTTTCGTAATGGAAAACTTGGAAAGCGGCCCCAGGAGATGCAGTTGATTTCACGCAAGGAAGTAATGACAAGGGCTCCGGAATTGCAGTGCCTGATATGGCCAAACACTTGGAGGATGATTTGTGCTTGAATTGGCAGTATTCTGCAGGTTTATCAAAATTTTCCATGCCCATGATGTCATCTAAACGATATTCAGAATTGGTTTCAGTATCGGTTTCTCTAAAAAAAAAAGGTAAGTATGCTTATCATATTGAAAACCTCTCGCATCATGCTTACTTTAACACAATCAAATTAATTGCCAGCGCCAGAACTGCTCCGCAAGTTAGGGTAAGCACTACTAGAATAAGTTTACATATAATAATTTTCCTGAAATCGGCTGTTTCATGATCCATTTTATCATCTGTCGTTCTTGGTACTATTGTAGATCTACTGCGTTTGGGAGCGATAGCGCGGTAGGTTGACATTTTTTACAAAATCGAATTTGAAATTGACATGCACAGACATGTCTCGTAATACCTAAATCGGCGCGCGCAGCCTGTAGCAAGCAGGTGAGGAAGTGAAGTTTGTTACAGGATTTCGTCGTATTTATTTATTTCTATTCAGGAGCGAGATCAGAAGTAATCGTTCCTTCTTTCTCTGTAACGTGTAATTCGACAAAGAGCAAACTAATACCTTATACGTATAGGGCAATCCAAACTAAATGGTGGTCAATGCATGGCCAATGCCAAAAAATTGGCGCCATAAATTTAATTCAAGCAATCGTGACATTTTTCATCAAAAAACTGTTTTTTGTGTATTTTGTGTTGCTTCTAGATGATTTTCTAGTGATTGAAAGGATAATTTTCGTATTCTAAGATGGAAAGTTTTTAGTTTAAGAAATTATTAGTAGAAAAAAGGCATTGGCCTCCATTTTGAATTCCATTTTGACAAGTCGTTGGATTGCCCTATTACTTGAACTCACCGCAGTGTCGTTTAAGGTTATGTTAGATTATACTCAACTGGCCGAAACCCACTAGCAACACGCCACGTCATGCTTCGCCACGCCATGCCATGTGACGAAAATGTATGCGCATATTTTTCCATTTATTTATAAAGTATATTTTTTTTTTAAAAATAATTCCCCAAGTCAAAAATTTAGTAACTATGTTGGCAACACAAGCCTTTTCTACATAAAAAATTTGAAAGCATTGACAATTTTGCATTGTATTGCCAACATAATGTCAGTTTGACTTTTATCTTAAAAAAAAAAAACAGATTTTATGTACTGCGTACACACTTGCCATACGCGATACCACGTCATGGCACGCCACGCCATCCGTCCATTTGCACACAAACTGTCCCGCGTGAACCTGTGTCACATGGCGTGGGGTGGCGTGGCGTGTTGCTAGTGGGTTTGGGCCTTTTTCTTTTCATTTCACAATTTCATTGTGCGATATTGCCGGATGAAACATTTATCAGAAAAAAAAGTGCAAACGATGTTAACATATTTTTTTTACACTTTAAAGCTCCGCAGGTTATAATGTTCGATTTTTATTGTCTACATTTGTTCTGCAACAATACAATCTGGATACACTGCAGCCACGAGTTGCGCGCGCATTTCATCTCTGATTACTTTCTAACTTGTACCATCGTCACCAAAAGTAACTGGGACACAAATAATGCTTAATAATCTCCTGGACTAATTCTACTGTCATTCATTTCAATGCATTTAATGCATAATTTGTCAAATATTTGACAATAAAATTCATATAATAGGACAAGAGCTAATGTGATGCTGTCCCAGTTACTTTTGGTGACGATGGTACCTATTACAATTAAGCTTTTTTTTCTATTTATGCGAGACAGGTCAAGATGGAACGAAAAAAATCTCTACTGTCACGTTCAACGCCAATGTTTATGAAATATGTTTAGTATATTTCCTAAATAACTAGTGCGGAAAGTGCCACTTGTCCGCAGGCGATTCCAGTGGCCAAGCAATCAAATGAGGAAACGAAACTTTCCGCACGAGTCAGGAACATTATTTTTTCTACAAGATGGTAGTTGATATTTGTACACCATTGCAAAAAAGTATTGCGGAAAAGTACTTTTTCTATGAGTATTGAATAATATGCGTAATATACATCCATTTTCTATTGATCAATGTGAATCATTACTCATACAGTGAGCTTTTTTTTTTTTCATTTCTCAATTGTTTTCAACCAATGAAAATATCTTGGTCTCATTACTCCACTATCTAAGAGTCAATCAGAAAATTCGACAAGTTGACAACATACTTCAAGCTTCCAATCGGTCATTTTGACAGCTGATTTAGACAATACTTGTGCTAACCTAACCTCATTTTGTCCTCCAGCTGTCAGAATTATCAATTAATTTTGTTATGAAAATTAAATAAAAAACCTCATAACTTTCTATTAATCATAGAATAAGTATAGTATTCTACTTGTGGGTAATGGCTATTACTCACTCGGATGAATACACTACTCGCCTGCGGCTCGTAGTGCAAACTTCATCCTTCGTGAGTAATAGCCATCATTACCCGCTCGTTGAATTATATACTATTTCACTTGTACTAATATATGCCTATACCAAAGTCCTATACCTGCTTATTTAGATAAGTAACTTTTTCTACTACCGTGCGTAAAGTACTCACTTTACGCACTATTTAGAAGACGTAAAATTTCACTTCACGCACTAGTGCGTAAAGTAATTCACTTCACATACTAGTGCGTAAAGTAATGTCAATGACAGATGTCGAAACTGTCAATTTGGCATTTTTCTGGTAAATTACTTCACGCATTAGTGCGTAAATTATTTGTCTAAATTTAATTTTTCACACATATTTAACTAGTAGTAGAAAAAAATTTGTATGCAATACGTGCGTAAAGCACCTTTTTTCACTCATGTGATTGTTGCACTCGCCTTCGGCTCGTGCGTCAAAATTCACATTCGTGAAAAAAGGTTCACTTTACACACTTGTTGCATAAATAACTATTACTTTTTCGTTCATAATCTAAAATGCATGCGGAGAGGCGAGGTTTTACGCATGCTCCTAGAACAAATATCTACTTATAGAGTTTATTAGAACTTATATCTAGCCCTTGAACAGACAAATCCGACTCAACATAAAGACAATGATAAACGATTGTCAAATTTTGCATAAACTTTCTTTGATTGATTACGTATCTACAATAATACCAATCGGTACTTCAGTTTCTTGTTTTTGTTTTGTTTTTTTGCGTAAGTCTCTTTATTCTCAAAAGTTCATATCATTCAAGTGCTTGGATAGGTAGGTACTTGTCTTTCCGAGGACTTTGTCGTATACATTGGGTTTTTCTATTATCACTGTCATCGTCTGTGATGTCAGGACTCTCATTCACTGTAATTTATTAATTTTTTCTCGCATCAGATGACTGATATGGATCATGTTTCCCATTCACCATTTCCACATTTTCATTGTTTATTTATACGGTGTTTGTGTTTGTTCTTGTTTCATCGAACACGACATTCCTTCTAGGCACAATTTTTTGGGTGAATCTACTTAACAATTTCTATCTTTTTCAGGCATGTGGCTGGTAGGGTAGGCCTCATCCTTCTCAAATTTGGTTTATTCACCCAACCAAATGCCAGTAGGACACTGCGATTATTCTGAAGAGTTCTGAGGCTGTTCAGTTGGTAAAATAACCAGGTACTATTCAGACTTCATCACCGTCAACATCAGATGTTCCGGTTATAATGAATCAACGGATTCTGTTGATGCTACCTCCAGTGGACGTTTTGTTTTTCCTTCCTCGCCTCTTAATTTGAAGGCTTTCCTTTCCTTGCAACCATTATGTCACAATCACCTGGAGTCTCTCTATCTTCCTATTTATTCTAACAATTTTTCTTCCTTAGTCATATTTCACTGCTAAACCAGTTTCAGGTATTTTCAGTTCAACTGTGTAGAGACTTCCATAGAATTTGGCCTTCCAGTAAAACTACTAATAGGTACCTATTTATGATACATGATACAAAATGTATTGTCCGTAAACACCACTTTTTCCAGAAAATCCACTGTTCCTTTTCTTTCGCCTCTTGGCAAAACTATTCATAAGGCATTGAAGACAACAATAATAATTGTGGCACAATCACGTCAGTATTCAAATTCTTCGCCAAGAAAATATAAGTAGTCTCTTCTTTGAATCTGAAACTGCTCAACTTTTTCTGAAGCATCTTAATCAGATATAACAAGCTTTCATTTTTTGTTTTGCGGTTTTTTTTCTTATCTTCGGCTACTTCCAACAATCATTCAAAAATTGTAGTAGTCTGGTCCAGAGCGCGAACTCTTTAGGACATCACTTCTTTCCTGCCTGTTCGGATGTCAACGTTACCTTGAATTCAAAACAACTATTTTACTTGTTTACTGTAGCAGTCTGCCCAAGTATTCTAAATATTATTTACCTAAATAGATAGTAAATTAGTAAATGGCGAGCGGTCCTATTGATGGTGTTTATTTCTTTCGGTAGCCACAAATATAATAATTTTGGAGGGGTTCTATTTGTTGATGAGAGAAACGAAGTACCACAGTAAGGTTTTCATAGGGATAGGGTGAGTTACCAGTCACCATATTTTGCCACCCACCTACAGCCGTAATTACAAGTGATAGGTAAAAGGTGTGAATACAAAAATAGGGAACTTGCACATTTTTTTTTTATTTCAAAAATGTGTTGTACTACACTAAAGACATAGTCATGCCAAATATCAAGCATTAAAAATCAGCCGTTAATTTTTTACAAATATTTGAAGTTACGCCCGAAACATCGTCATTTGAAACGACCGATTAGTGTGACGTCACTCAGCAACAAAATTCCGTTCACAGTCCTTGGTTGACAGTGACCTTCGAGCAGGTAGACTTAGATTATGGTTATGTTGTTATGTATGCCGTTTATGATAGATTTGACATTGACAACACCAGCAGCACATGGCGTGGCAGCGGTGCGACCCGATTATTACTGCCTTGTGACGTCAGGACCCATAGAATACGTTTTTGATCTCGTCAAAAATTTCGAATTATTTGGTATTTTCAATTGAAGATTTTGGAAACCAGAGATAAGATATCATATCCTTTTCCTAATTGCATCATTTATTAGGATGATTGTTATTGTATTTTATTATTTATTTCATATTTAATTTAATGTGCAAGTTCCCTATTGTAGCTTTTTATCTGAACCGTCAGAATTTTTGATTGGATGTAACAAATCAGCAACGCAAAGTAAAAAAATATGTCGATGTTCGCTTTGTCAAATGGAAAGCCCTTATTTTTTTTCGAATATTTTAAGTTCTCGTTTTTCTGATCCGATCCAGAATATATTGAATATGTTATTGTTTCTTCCAATGGTTTTGGAAATATCTGGAGTTTACTTATTCAAAAACAGTAGTTTTCTGAATATATACAGGGTGAGTTTTTTAAAGTGTTAAGTACAATGCGATATATCAAAAACAGCTGCAAA